TGCTAATCTGTGCTCCTCCACATCCCACACTAATAGCTAATAGTTCTGCATTAAGAAAGCAGAACCTGCCTCACAGCTTTCCTCAGATTTATACTGTTTTGTATTGGGTCCTATCATATTGACTTTCATTAACATATCATTAACTACTGTGTCTGTCTTTTGTGACTCTTTGAGACATTCACTCACAATGCAAATGTATGTTACATTTTGTTGCTTGGCAACATCTAGTGGTTGTAGTAATTATGACAGGAGCAAAAGGAAAAGTGCGGTGACGTAGTATAAAGAGAGACAAAGTCCACATCAGGAGGAGGTTGTGTTGGATGGATGAATATGACACAGGGATTGGTGTTCGATTCCCATGTGAAACCAGAAGTTTATGTTGTAAACTAGCTGTTTATATTGCAACCATGACAACAAAGACCGTCTAATGTTGAGGAACTACTTATTTTAACCCAAATTACAATCTTTTCCTAAACCTAACCAAGTCATGACTGATATTATAGTAACCATTGCAACAAAGGTAGGTACTCTGCTGTTGGTACAGTCCATTTGTTTATTATTGTAACATGACAACCGAAGTCTGGTATGCCTGCCACCGTAGGGGTGCTATTTCAGGAGACTCTCCAATGGGTCGTATCAGGGGGTTGAAAAACAAAATGACCTGTGTGGTTGTTCAGGTTGGAAGAGTTGTTGGGACCTCTAGATGATACCTGGACTATAACAGTAATCCAAACGTGTGTTGAGCTTGTAGACCGGCTCAGGACAACTGACTTTCACTTCATGTTCATCAGATTTTCTTTGAACTGATCGTTACTCTGTGACTTGAGTTTATCACATGTCCTGTTCAAACACTGAACAGCAGAGTGGGAAACACTTTTCACATCAGCCTCCAACTTGTAATTCTCAGATTTGGTGAATTTATTCTTAAAGAACAACAGAGATGTCACCAAACTGTTGGAGTGTGGCTGCAAATGTACCACTGGAAGTTCCAAACAATTAAAATCCATTTTTATCATCACTACAATCCATTCAACTAATTTTATTGGAGCTGTACGCTGCTTGTTTGGATCTTGGTAACAAACTGCTACAGATACTTAGCACAACAAAAGAAAACAATTTAGAATGTGAATCTGGTGTAACTGACACCTTGGAACAATGTATGAACACTCTTCCCACTCTGCAAACATAACTTGAATGCAGCATTATGGTTTTGACCATATCTAGGACGTGATGTTTGCATGTGTAAATAACCATAGTCTGGCTATCCATGTCCTTTTTAGAGCGGTGTGGTTAATCAGTGGTTAATCAGTGGATTAATCAGTGGATTAACCACACCGCAGATGTACATAAACACTGAGAGTGTGGAAGATGACTGAGGTTTGACATGTGTGTTTTTAAACCAAAGAGTGTGAAGAGACTGTCAGAGTTCAATGTGAACTTTCACATCCTCAAACTGTCAGAGAGCAGAGGACCTATTATGGTCATTTTTAGTGTTAATCCTTTAATTCTTGGTGTCTTCTAAAATAGATTTACATGCTTCAATGTTCTGAAAAGATATTATTTTTATTTTTATGTACATTTTATGCTGTAGTCTCTTCACCCATCGGATGTGCTCTTCTAGAGCTCAGAGTTCCTTAAGGCCCTCCTCCTCCCTCTGAAGCCAACCAATCAAAGCCCAGTGTGATCTGATTGGTCAGTGTCGTGCCAAGAAGTTGTTGTCTGCCAAAATGTGATTGCTGTCCGCGGGAACACGCACAGCCGCTTAAAGCTGTATTGCCCAGTTTATGTACGTCTGCAGCTGCTTTTACCTGAATCAAACAGTCATAATGTATAAATACACACATCTTTATGTCAGTGGTAATAGCAAAGGCATGTCATTGTGAATCTTTAATGAATCAATAGAAGTGCATGCAATTTAAATGGCTTAATCAGGCATGACATTTAGCTTACCTACATGATCATACAGTAAGTAACAATGGTATTGTTCCCAATGTTTTTGTGATTTGTGATTGCAGCATCTACCTACATCTACAATCTGTCAAATATCTCCCTCATGGATGAAATCAATTAATTTTGAACTATACTGTAGTGTTACATGCTGTATAAGCCTCATGTAGCTAGGCCGAATGTCACGCCTAATTAAGCCATTTAAATTCTACTTCTACTTCTATGGCCACAGTTGTGATTGTTCGGGTTCAATAAATATTAAAGATTCAGGACATTACTTTGCTATTATCACAGACATAAAAATGTGTGTATTTATACGTCATGACTGATTGATTCAGGTAAAAAGAGCTGCAGATGTATGTAAACTGAGTGATACAGCTTTAAGTGGCTGTGTGTGTTCCTGTGGAATCACATTCTGGCAGACAATCACTTTTTGGCACGACGCCGGCAAGCTGACCAATCAGAGTCCTGAACCAGAGGATGACAGACCTGATCCCCCTTCACAAGCTGGACTGGAGCAGAAAACAAGCACATCCACTGTCCCACAGCCAGAAGGAGGGTGTCATGGTCTCAGCCTGGAGGCTCCAGGGTTTTGGTTTTTTGGACTTTTTTGGACTTTCTTGATGATTTAGTTTTCTGTGTTTTGGGTTTCTGTTCTGGGTTTTGAGTATTTCTGGTTTGGGTATTTCTAGTGTCTAGTGTGGTCTTCCCTGTCTTGTGCTCTGTTTCCCCGTGTACTTCCTGTTTTATTTTGATAGTCGTGTCGCCCCAGTGTCTGAGTTCTAGTTTTGCTTCCTTTGGTTAATCATCCCTGATGTGTCCCACCTGTGTCTGCTTCTCCACCTGTTCTCCATCGTTAATCAGTTCCGTTCCTTTAAAAAGCCCTTGCTCTGTCTTTTCTTTGTGGGATCATTGTTGGTTGTGAGGTTTGGTGTCTGGTTTGTCGGCGGCATCTGTGCATGTATGGACTTTGGTTTCTTGTTTAAAATAAATTCTTTCACACTGGTTCCTCCTCCACATCTGAGTCTCTCGCCCTCACTCCTGCCTCATCAGATCGTGACAGAGGGAGAAATATGAAGTGCACTGTGAATCACTGCTGAACAGTCTGCAAAGACTTCAGATGTCAATATTCATAACTTGGAATACTTTTATGAAAAACCTGTTTGATTTTTTATGTGTGGACACTTATGGACTAAATGAATATAAATAATGGAGGAACAGACAGACGGTCAACAGGTAGTGAGGCTCCACCGCTTCACCTCCTGCTGGTTTACAATGCCGGTAAATCTGAATGAATTCAACATTAGTGCGCATAGTTCCTGAAAAATGAACTCAGTGGTTAAACTGTGGATAATTTATCTGAGCTAACGAGGTATGGAATGTCAACACTGACAAACGTTTAAGCATTTATATCTTTGCTGAGGCTGAGTCCCCTATTCGGCCACATCATGTGTGAACTACAGAAATAACCGTTGTGAAAATGAAGTGTCTAACTGTGCGTGGTTTCTGAAGCAGTCCTCCTTGAAGTGCAGGCTCACACTAATGTTTGGAGCAGTGGAGAACCGTGGAAAAATGAAGCACATTTCTACAGGCAATTGAGAACACTGTCTTTTCAACATGGCTACAAAACAAAAAAAAATTCTGAAGTTATGTGCTGTGCCTTGTGTGGGGGCATGCCAAGCTTGAAGGGGGTGTCCAGCTTGCAGGTGGGCAGCACCAAGAGATGCATTGACGTCAATAGGACCAGGAAGTAATGGCTGGACCACCAACCAGGCGTACAAAGGAGAAAATTGGGTTTTTACCCTGACAGTTACTCCCTTTGATGTAAACTTTGATCTTTGTAACTCTGGAGGCCATTTACATGCACAAAAACCTATATAACACACTATAAGAAAGGAAAAACTCAGAAAAGCATAATAGGTCCCCTTTAAACAAACCTCCAGGCATTTCAGAGTGGTTGGAAGACGAACTTTCCTGCTTTTGTGTAAGAAGGATATTTTATTTTGGTGTTAAACAGCCCTCACTTCCTCCTCTGACAATGATATTTCAACATTCAGCTGCCACCTGTCTCTTTAAGAAAGCTGCATGACTGCAAATCATTTACCAAGGTCACATTGGTATAGCACACCATCCGAACCTGACACTTCAACCAATCAGGAGACGGAGAGGGGAAAGACCCCCTCCCTGTGTGAGTCACAGAGGTAAACTGTGCCAAACAGCCGGTTGTGATTTCCACCAGAGTCTGAGTTTGTGGTCTGGTGGTTTCAGTCAATGATTCAGTCATTGGCTTTTAGTGGAAGGAACGAGGGTTAACTACAAAAATACGTCATGGCAACTTTAGAGTGTAACTATATATTATTGGATTGTTATTGAATAAATAACATGTAAGCACACTTTTAATGTTGGTTAGGCTGGTTAGGGTTAACAACATTATATCATGTTGAGTACTTTATGTAAACAACTTATTTCAGCATATATTTTGGAAGTCAAAAATGAATGTGCAGAAAAATGTGGTGGTGCAGAAGTACAAAGCATCATAAAGTGCAGTATCTGAATAAATGAGTTACTTTCCACCACTGATGGTCAGTAGAGAGAAGTATGCTGAGAATATAAACATGTTAGTGTGAGTGTGTCAGCCATTGTGTACATGCTGAACTGCATTGTCTGACACAGGGCCATAGATGTGTGTGGCTGAGATAAGGAGAGGACAGACAGCGTTTGACCCTGCAGCAGGTCATGTGAGGTGATCCTGCTCTAAGTAAATATAGATCATGTCTGTACGCAGGTCCAGCAGGCGCAAAAACACAAGAATAAAATACAGCCTCTGACAGTCAAAGTGAAAGTCTTAAACTTCGTCCTGCACAGAACAAAGGTCAAAGCCTGATCACCTCAGCTCACTTTCCTCTGACACAAATATACCAACTGCTGAATCTTTTCTCTGCCTTATCTGACCTGTTTCACCTGAACTGACTCTAGATGCTTCAGAGAAACAAATAGAGAGAGAGAGGAGAGGAAGCCCTGAGGAAAAAGAGGAAAATAACAGCTGTAGTTACCAGAAGATGATTCATGTCTGTGGCGGTGTGTGTTGAGCTGTGCTGCCTCGTTTCACCCTCACAAGGACATGCCCACACACACACACACACACACACGCGCATACACACAAGCACACACTCATCCAGTATCAGTGTTTCTGAATATCTGCCAAACTACGATCTGGTGCAAGGGCCAAACTGTCTGCGCTTGACAGCACTCAGGAAACAGTCACAACAGTCTGGCAAGAGTCTGGCTCCAACATTGAGTCAATCCACATAGAGTCCCATGTTAAAATTTCCAACTTCACAGCAGAAATAAACAAGTTTGCAGCCTGGTACAAAAAATATATATATGCCACCTACTGTATATTATCACATATATACATAAGATATATATGAAATACCCATAGTCCAAGATCCATTCAGAGCATGGATCTTTTGAGAATACTGATGCACCTGGACATGCAGTAACCATCAGTCTGCACAGATTGATGGCAATAAATTCATCTAGTATTTTCTCATATGAATAATCCAGTTTTCAAATCAAACATTTCAACAATGTACAAAGTGAAATTTAGTACACTGTAAAAATGTAATGAAAGTATTTCAGCAAAAATATTATCAAATATATTATTAAATAATATCTTTTTTTGTCGCTAACTAGTCTAGCGCTAGCGAGTTAGCCTAGAGAGCTAATGTTAAGATAAATAAACAAGTAGATTGTCGACTCTCACAGAACTTTTGGTTCGCAAATACATTGTGTTTTATGCAGAATTTTTCACATCACATATTAGAAATTGCACAAATAAATCTGAGGAAATTTAAGAGTTGTGAATTTGACATCCTCATTGTCTAAAGCACAAGATTCAATGGCCAAATAATTGAAAGTTGTCCCATTGGTAAAATTGAAATGGATACAATGGATCACACAGATCCTCTAAGTCACTTCACCAAAACGTCAGCAACAACTACACGTCTAGGAACAGCATAGCACAGCACAACATAGTCTGGGTGGGGACCGGGGAAGAGGCGAAGCGAAGCTGGCATAGGCAGATGCCATTTTAAACTGTAAGCCATCAGACAGCGGTCCAATCAGCAGCCGCCACCTACTAAAAAAACATCTTCTGCTCACCAGCCAAAACAAGCCAGAAAAGAAACAGGACAGATGAACAGCACCACCCTCAGGCAGGGAGGGAGAACAACTAAAGAACAATACAATATTGTCATAAATTATGACTCGAGTCATAATGAAAATAAAGTGGTAATTTTGAGAATAAAATCAGAATATTACAAGAATATAGTCATAATATGGTGAGAATAATGTGTTAATTTTAGGTTGCATGTTGTTTTAGAGAGAAAATATCAGAAGCTTTACAATGAGGAACGTGGAGCATCCTGTGAAGTTCTACTTTAGCAGAGGTTTCACTAATGTACGGTCTGTACGGTGCTGTTCATCAAGTCGAGGGATAAACAGGGATGTAACCTGAAACTAGTCTGAGTGGCGGAGGCAGACAACCGTGAGGCAGTAATTCTAGCTTCTGCAGCGCAGAGACGTTTCTCTGAGCTGACCTTAGGTCTCAGTGTAGTACCTGGATGCAGCCTACCCGCAGGATTTTGTGCTAGTGTCAAAGAGCAAGGTAGGTTCTTTTCAATCCCCAATGGACCACAGAAGCAATTATGAATACAACACTTTATTACAGGAGATAGAAAATGTACAATAAGTATGTAAGGCTCACCAACAGTTAAGGCAGTATAGGGAAAGATGACTATTTTCTAATGGGGTTCTCGGCTTGGGGACAGTACTGAAAAATATTTACCATAGATAGATCACTAACAAAAGCATAAATATCACTGCAACCAAAAAATAGGAAACACTCACTTCAAGCTTAATTTGAAAAAACTGGTTCACAGCAGAACCAATGCATGCACACAATCCAGATAATCATAAATCACACCTCACACAACATGCCAAAGATCTGTTGGTCTAATACCAGGAAATATCTCATCGTATACCTCCCCTTTAGCCCTCCCCAAGTCCCCAATAAATAAATCCAAATTTCCCAAAATAACTGGCCAAATGCCTTATCTTGGTCAATGGCCCACTTAAAGAATAAAATGCACATTTAGATACCACACAAATAAATGAGTTTAAAAAAAACAGTTGCCTCACTATAGTCTTAGTGCGTCACACCCACAGCCTCCTGCGCACCGCCTCCGATGTCTGTACTAGGCCGGCTGAGCGCAGCGCGGTACTGCTGGAGAGACAGACAGAGTCCCTGTGTCCAAGCGTTGGTCTAGGCACCTGACCCGAGTGGAGGAACCATTGTCCACCATGAAGAACAGGAGGACAGAAGATGAGAGAAAAAGTGGCAAATCAGTGGACAGCTTAATGTCAACTTGGACTCATTTGTGTGTAATATGGGTCACGGAAGGACCGTCCCTTTAACTAGCGAGTGATGTTTCCAGGTGAGAGACGATGTGATCGGGCAGCGATCCGCTTGGTGTCCAGAGCATTGAGCAAGAGTTGGGTTCTCCAGCTGTCCAACTTCGGGGGACGTGTTGTCCAAAATACTGCGCCGCGCGGCCTCTGCCTCCCTCCTTGGGTTTGAATCAATAGGGCGTGCTTCTGGGTCACCATTCATATCGGCCCCCTCTGACAACGTGGGAACAGGACCAACCAGGCTGGCTACTGGCGAGAGTATACCTGACAGGATGCCCCCCCGTGACGGACGATCCTGATCAATGATTCCCTCAAGGGGGTAAGGGGGTGGTTGTTGGGTCGAAAGTGCAAAGGCAGATTGTTGCGATGGATGGTACAGACGGGTCCTTCCTTGGCCTCTGGCCGGACAACGTACACTGGCTGCTCGGGATTGGGCCGTGCCACTATGATGAACTGCAGGGGTTCACCATCGAGGGGCTAGCTTCCCGTCGGCCTGTCGACAGAAATTCCTTAATAGAACTCTCTCCTCTGGCAACAAGGGTGTGGCACAGGCTGTTCGATTATATTGAGCCTGATCCCAGGCTTGACAGCTTTCAGCCTGTGCTTTCACTTTCGCAAAAGCGTCTCGGAGGGTTTCATAGTGACTTTTGATCCACCCCTCCAAGGTGTGCTTAGGTTGCAGTGGGGACACCTTGTGGATCACATCCGTGATCCACGTGCCTTCCATACAGGATAGTGGGGGGTCAGCCCCGTACTGGCATGGGTGGAGTTGTGAGCCTGGAGCAACCCTGGTAGCTTGGTGTGCTACTGGCAGTGATTTTGAGGGTCCAGGGACCCCAGCAGGCTCAGCAATGTTTGATTAAAGCATTTGCATGCTCCATTCCCTTCATAGGTCCACAGACCCACAAGTCCCGCTGCTGCAGCTGGTGATGTAGGCACCCTGATTTTCAATCCCACCACCTTAACTTGGGCGCTAATAGCCTGTGGCAGCCTGGACAGCAGATTGGCATTTTGGTTACTTGACCCTGGACGACACTTTATGTCAAAGGAGTAATTTGAGAGCTGAGCGACCCACCTCTGCTCGATAGCTCCAAGACAGGGTGTGTTCAGATACACCAATGGTTTATTGTTTGCGAATATGGGGAACTGGGCACTCCACAGGTAGTCCTTGAACCTGTCAGTCACCATCCACTTCAGAGCCAAGAGCTTGAGCTTAAAGGAGCTATAGTTCTGGTTGTTGCGTTTAGAAGCGACGGCTACAGGCTATGGCTAGCATTATGCAATGACCCTCTCCTGCCCGTCTTGCACCTGGGAAAGGACTGCCCCAAGACCCTCCAAACTTGCGTCTGTGTACAGTTTGAGGGGCAGGGTGAAGTCAGCATAAGCCAATACGGGGGCTGAGAGGAGGGCTGCCTTAAGTTTTTCAAAGGCATCTTGGCAGTCTGCTGTCCAGTTCACAGGAGTGGAGTCTCAGCCAGCAGTACCCTGTAGCAATTTGGTTAAAGGGGCAGCCATGCGGGAAAAGGAGGGGACGAAACGCCAGTAGTACCCCACAAATCCGAGGAAAGAGTGGACTTCTTTTGTAGTAGTGGGCACTGGCCAATCGCGTACAGCTCGAGTTTTCTCCGGGTGAGTGGCCACTCCGCCACAACTGACCACAAGGCCCAGATATTTAACCTCCTGCTGGAAAAGGCGACATTTGCTTGGCTGAAGTTTCAACCCATGGTCAGATGTTGGAATACAACCCCCAGGTGGTCAAGATGAGACGGAAAGTCTGGCGAGTATACAATCACATCGTCTAAGTAGATCAGAAGGGCAGGGTGAAGTCAGCATGGGAGCCCAAACAGCGCTGCATCAAACGTTGAAAGGTCGCTGGGGCATTGCAGAGACCGAACGGCATCCGGGTGAACTGGCAAAGCCCAAGTGCGGTGGCAAACACAGTTTTTTCTTGGTCATCTGGGGCAACCTCAACTTGCCAATAGCCGAAAGCCAGGTCCAGGGTAGAGAACCAGGCGGCCTTCTTCAAGCTGGTCAATGATTCCTTGATGTGGGGTAAAGGGAAAGCATCCTTGTGGGTTATTGAGTTGAGTTTCCTGTAGTCAACACAGAATCGCAAAGTGTCATCATTCTTCCGCACCAAGACTACAGGTGCAGCCCACGGGCTTGAGTTTTCTGTGATTACCCCACTATCAAGCATCCCCTGCAGTAACGTTCTGAGCTCGGCAAACAATTTTGGTGGAACCGGCCTGTTGGGGGTGCTGTCCCAGTGGGAATCTGGTGGTACACAGCCCTTGTGTGTCCAAAGTCCTCGTTGTGGGCCGCAAACACGCTTGTCCACAGCTTAATGTCAAATTGGACTCACTCATGTGTAATATGGGTCACGGAAGGGCCGTCCCTTTACGCAGGGAATAGGGAGCGATTTCCAAGTGAGAGACGACAAGCAAGAGTTTGGTTCTCCAGCTGTCCAACTTCAGGGGCCATGTCGTCCAAAATGCTGTCCATCTTCCAACGCGCTGCGCGGCTTCTGCCTCCCTCCTTAGTCATCTCCGTCTCTGCCCCCGGGAGCCTTGATTGCTCAATTCACCATACCTGTGGACAGAAACACAGCCAGAGAAAACAAAAATCAACATTCTCCCCCTCCCAAAGTCCCAGTTCATTCAATTTCAGTCACAGCTCAGTATTTTC